GGACCACCACCCAGGACTGTGACCCAGATCCAAGCATGGGCAAAGCAAAAGAATCCTTCCTCAGTGCCAGCAAAGAGATCCCTGCAAACCCCCTCTGATCAGCTGCTTGATTCCCCCCAACCATAAAAAGAGAGCTCTGGAAGCAGCCACCACTGCCTCCACAGGGCTACACCAGGGCTGGGGCCGGACCATACTCCTCTCTCACCCAGGTCCAACAGATCTTTCCTACTGACCTTCTAAGTTGTCTTTGGAATTTTTGTGTCAAGAAGTCTGAAAACTGCCACAGCTGTCAGTGATTAAGTCCCTGGAGGCCTACTAAAGGTTTGCTGGGGCCCCATCTTTGCCTGGGTGGTGCACACTGAACTGTGCTCCTCTCCCAATCTGGCACAACAGACCTTTCCCATCAACCATTCAGGTTGTCTTGGACTGGAAATTTGTTTTATTCTGTCTTTTTGTAGGTTCCGCTGCTCTATAATTTGTTTAAAGTCATTCTTCATGGTATTTGGAGGGGTTTGGGGGAGAGCTCAAGCAAGTCACTGCTTTTACTTTACCATCTTGACTCTGCCTCTAAAACGAAAAGTATCAAAGAAAAAATAGGCCCATTTCTTGGGATGTTTGGGATGATGACAGTGGTCAACAGTGAGAAGGAATAATTTACTCATATTGTATTTTACTCCTGTTTTATCTGCCAAATGGAATACTACTTGCATAGAAAAAAAAAAAAAAGGTATGTCTAGTAGAAAATGTAAACCCCAGACAAGTAAGTAGATAGTAAGAAAGGGCCTAACTGCCCTTGATGATTTCAAGTCACCAAATCTCAATGATCAGCCTCTCAAGGTACTTAGAGAAACAGAGGTTAGGACTTCTGGGCTACCATCACATCTTAGAAAGCTTGTGGAGAAGTCCCACAGGACTGTCTTAATTTTTTTAAAAGGGCTGGGGGTAGGGTAGTAGGGTAGCAAACCATATTTGATTCTAATACCTGGGAAACTTCTAAAACATATTACTAAAGGGATGGTTAGTGAGCATATAGAAAAGGATGCAGTAATCACAAAGAGTCAACATGGTAAAAATAATTGACCTAAATTTTGGTAAAACATTTGAACAAATATCCCATACTGTCCTTGGGAATATGTCAGAGAGAGATAGGCTAGAGTCTAGACAATAGTTCATTTTGGAGGATTCAGGAATTGATTGAATGGCCAAAACTCAAACAATAGTTAGTAATGAGTTGGTATAAATTTCAAAAAAGAAAGTCTTCATAGAGGCATGCCCCAGTTATCTGTGCTATCTTATTAACATCTTTTAATGACTTAGTATGATGGCCACAGATGATATGTTTTCCAAATTTGCAGATGACATGAAAATGGAAGAAATAGAAAATGTATAGTAATTGGAATATAATCTGGACCTTTGATTTCAATGGGATAGGGAGCTTCCAGATAAAGAAACTCCCTCCACCAAGGCAGGTCAGCACCCTCTCTTCAACTTAGAATCTTGGCTAGAACATTGAGAAGTAGTTTATCCAGGGTGTTGTGGGCCAATACACACACACACACACACACTACACACACTACCTTCCAGGACTGTCAGTAGCAAAGAAGTTGTAGAATAGCCTAAGATAGTTTGCGTTGACTTTAGCCCTAGGTAGATTGATCTGGGACCCAGCTGTGGGTCATTTGAGCAAGAAGAATATGAACATAGAGAATTCTTGAGACTCCATATAACTGCTTTGCTCGTTGTCCTGTTTTTATCTTCTTAAAAAGTGTTTTTTTTAATTCTCTTGGCAATATCTTTCAGCTGGGGATATTTGAATTATTACTACTAAAATGATTATTTGAACTTTCAAACACTGAGGGACCCATGGCATAAGACCTAGAATCAGGATCTAGATAGAGATAGGATGTGCAGCTGCTAGCTCTTCCTGACTCCAAGGCCAGATCTCTATCCAGTATGCTATACTCCCTTTGGCAAACCCATCAGATGACAAAATTAGCATTCATAAAGTTCCTATAACACTGGATTGAATGCTTGGTTCAAAAACTTCAGTGCTACCAGTCTGAAATGTGACTAGGTAGTACATGACCTAAAAAAATTTCGAGGTTTTAGTACACTGCAGGCTCAGCGTGAGTTGACTATGTCAGTAGGCAGCTGAAAAAGCCAATGAAATCCTAGGGGGCATTAAGAGCAATATAGTGCCCAGAACTAAGGAAGGAGGTAATAGTCCTTCATGGATTCTGCCCTGATCAGACCACATCTCGAATATTATGTTCAATTCCAGGTGCCACATTTTAGTAAAGGTATTGAAAAGCTGTAAGGCATCCAAAGAAACATGGTGAAGGGACTTGAGATCATGTCATGTGAACACTGGTTGAAGGAAACAGAGATGCTTAGCTTGGAGAATCATAGGAGCCTAAATTTAGAGCTAGGAAGGACCTCAGAGATCATTAAGTCTAAGCCCACCTCCCCATTTTCTTTTTTTTTAATTTTTATTTGTTTAATTTTTAATTTATGGAATAAAATAAGCATTTCCATTATATAGTATAATTTTTAAAAAGATGATTGCACACAAAATTGCAAACCTATTATATATGCATTATGTTTCAGAGGAGGAAATTGGAGTCCAGAAAATTGACTTGGCCAAGGGCACATGCAGGTGCCCTTCAGATCCTTGAATTGAATGCATTTTCTGGATTTAAGCCTATTATCACTCATCCTACTACATTATGCTGCTTCTTAGAAAAGAAGTCTCATGGTGGACAAGAACAGTTGCCAACTATGTGATGTGTTCTCAAGTGGAAGAAGAACTAGATGTGCTCTTTTTGGCCACAGTGGGCAGAATCAGAAGCAATGGACAGGAGTTGTAGGGAGGTAGTTTTAGTCTCAAAAATCTTCCTAATCCTTAATACATTACAAAAATAGAATGGATGACTGGTCCAGGAGAAGGTGACTTCTCCATTAATGGACATCCTATAGGAAAGTCTTGACAAACACTTATCAGAGATATCAAAGAGGATATTCTTGGTTAGATGTAAATTAGACTTGGTGACCTACAAACCCCCTTCCTTCTTAGAGTCTGAGATACAGAGAAGAGATTTTACCAAGTGACTTGGCCAAAGTCACATATTGAGTTAATGGCAAAGCTAGAACTAGGACCCAGATTGTTGATCTCTTAGTCAAATGTTTTTACAATGACCTGGCTACAGTGGTGTGCTTGTAACAACCAGGTCTTCTTGCCCCCAAAATATGTATGCACAATACACTTTTAAATTTAATCTTGTATTATTAACACTTTATCTATCAATCTCTTAAGCCTACACAATTAACAAAATAATCAATCAAGTCCCAATCTGTAGTGTTTGTTGATTTCTGAGGTGTGAACACCCATAGTGAAGATTTAACAATGGGCTTTCAGGACCCTGTACAAGCTGTCTCCAGCACACTCTTGTCCAGCTACCCCCCCCCACACACACCCAGTCTGCTCATCTGGAGCCTTTGACGTTCCATCCTCAGTGTTACTGGGCCCTGAAAAAAGGGAAAAATGGGATTTCTGGATCTAACATTTAGCACCAAATCACCCTTCCCATTGCTCCTGCTCAGGTCTTCTCCTCCCATTCTAACAATTAAACTCCCTCTATGGCTTCTGCTATGGTCCATCCCCTACTCTGGTTGCTTTGAGACCTTCTGTTTAAAAAATATATATCATCATATGCCCCTGTTTTGCTGTTCACATTCTTCTCAATCCCTAGAGCCTTAGCATGCACTTAGGCCCATGATTGACTATGCTACCTGCTATAAAAATCACCCTACTCTCCATGCCAATTGCCTGGACCTCTTCCTCCATGGCACAGTGTCAGAATCCCCTGACATCAGGCCTCTCTCCCTGCTGCTGTGACCTGCTACAAAAGGTAGTGGCACCAACTCCTACCTGTCTTTCCCCACGTTCTCTAGCTAAGTTCAGCTGCCAAACTCCTCAATCTATTGATCCAAAGAATTCCTTTCTAGCCTAACTTCATGGACTTCCCCACTAGCTTTCCCTGTCTCAATAAGTCTAGCCTCTGAGTCCTGCTCTAGTTTCACCTACAATAACTAAATCTTGACCCTCTTTATATTACACTTCAGCCTTCTTTCTTCTCACTCCCTTCACCCTTTTCATTTCCCCAAACTTATTTCTCTGGCCTTCCAATACCTGACTTAGGCATCACTTTGTCCTGAAGGTGGGGTCATCTGGGTCAGAAGTGTCAGGCATCTGACACATGGGGTCACATTCAGCCCATAGCACCCCCAAGTGCAGCTGAATCAGATTAAAAGGTAATTGGGAAATATTTTACAAAATAAATAAAAATATAATAAAACATATTACATTTAAAAACTAATGGGGCCCTCTGGGAGCCTTATATATGGGTTAGTGGCCCCCCATTTCTATTTGAGTTTAACACCACTGGTCTAGGAGGTCTCTAACCCTTGGTCCATTTGGGCCCAATAGTTCCAGCTTCACAGGCTGGAGAAAGACTACAATTTTCATCAGACAGTCTGATGGGTTAGGCCTCTGGTTTTGGCAAGATATTCTGGTTTCCAAAGGGCAAGAACCATCTGAGGAGAAAGCCAGGCTCCACCTACCTGCCCCCCCTTCCCCTCTTCCTTTTGTAAATATCTGGGAATCCTCAGAAAGCTCCCAGCTAAGACACAGATAACCACAAAACTGCCCAAAGCCCGCAGATTGTTTCCATATGTCTCTTCCATTTGATCAGGAGGTTTCAGCCTTTTAACATCCTGAAAAAGAGGTTGTCCTTGATGGAGTGATGGTGGTGGAGGTTTGAGGACCCCAAGGGAGAAGGGGAGGAGCTCTGCACAAGTCTCAGGCTGAGCCGAACGGAATGCAATTAAATTCCCACCAACACCTAACACACATGGAGGCTTGTAATCTGCCTGCCCCATGGATGCTGAGTTTGAGGAAAAAGTTGGACCAATTTTAAATGTTGCATTTGGACACCACCAAGGAACGCAGCAGCAGCAGAAGCCACCGGGGGAAGTGGAGGGTGGAATCAACAGGCTCTTTCATACTATGAAGCCAGACGACTAGCAGCAAGGAGCCTGAGCCCTGACTGAGAAAGGTAAAGGGATGGGAAGGGCTGACCAGGATCAGTGCGTGGGATGCAAGGTGCCCAGCAGCTGATCAAAATCTTGCTCATTTGTTCATTTAAAGCTGAGGCCCAGGGGTTCAGGCCTTGGCTAGATATTGTAGCTTGGTCCAAGGTGGGACCAGAAAAGGATTATTCATTCTTTCTAGAGCTGAGTTTGACAGTTTGGTCCCCCTCTATAGCCTAGTTCCATGTGCATTTATTTTGTTATATCTGGTGCACACAAGACATGGGCAAGTTATTATCCCTTATTTGGGTACAACAGCTGAGGAACACAATTGCCAGGGTACTGTGCCCTAATCCCAAGTGCCTCCATTTTTGAGGAGACTCATTTCCTCAGGTTCCTGGCATCTTAACTCCCAGATCAAGTGTGATGGAGATGCCATTCCAGGAAAGGGGTAGGGGTTTTGTTTTAAACAGTTAGGCTGGGATGCACAGCCAGAAATGCGCATGCCTGGAAAGGCTTCTTGCCCCACTAGGAATAGGTGCCAATCAAGGGGAAGTTCCTGCAGATATAGGTATATGGGTAACTGGGACCCAACAGAAAGAAAAGGAGCCATAGATAAGATGTACTCTCTCTTCTGGCCCCCAGAAATTTCCTTCTCTGCTCAGATAGATGCTATGGCAGTGGGCACACCATGCCAAGAGCTAAGCCAAGAGAGACAATAGTTCACTCAAATCTATGAAGCCAGATCCCAACATAAAAGTCCAGCAATATGTACTTGAGGAGCCGGCTGTTTTTCTCCTGTTCTTTCCTTCTTTTCTGGGCCGCCTCAGCAGCAAAGAGAAACCAAGCAAATCCAAAGAGCATCTGAATCACCCATGAATCACCCAACCCTGTTGCAAGTCCAGAAAGCCTGGACTCTGGCCCCAGCTGCTCTGGCCTGCCTGGCAGTTCTGGAGCGCTAGCGTCCTTGTGGCGAGACTGACTCATTTTTGCAAGTGGCTGGTGAAATGGTAGTCTTTGTAGAAAGGCCATCCAGAACACATAAAGGCCTTTCCAAGTCATGACAGAGAGATTCCTGGCAAGCAGAGATTGCTTGTGCTGTCAATACATGCTAAGGGGAATTGTAGGAAGAGATACAGAAGCATTCTTTGACTACAGGGCAGGCAGGAGAGACAGTGGAAAGCTCTCTTATCATGGGCTGATTCACATACAAATGACAGTACTACCAACATGAAGACGGTACTGATAACCTCAGATCAGGAGGATAAAGGCTTCATGTTGATGATGGAGTAGTAGGAATGGGTTGCCCCAAATCATCAACATTCTTGCCTGGTTGCCCCCATGACCAAAGACACACATTTCTGACAGAGTTTAATAGCATTTGGGGCAGAAGATATACAAGTGGGTCCAGGTTAGGGGATAATCTGTGATCGCAGTAAACATCTTAGAATGAGAAGGACCCTCAGTAGTCATCTGTTGTTTTTGCTCCATCATTTCAGTCATGCGTGATTCTTCGTGACTCCATTTGGGATTTTCTTGGCAAAGATATTCACGTAGTTTGTCATTTCCTTCTCCAGTAGATCCATTTTATCAGACAAGCAGAGGTTAAGTGATTTGCCTAAGGTCACACAGCTAGGAAGTGTCTGAAGCTGGATTTGAACTCAGGTCTTCCTGACATCAGGACCTCTAGTGTTCTATCAACTGAGCCACCAGCTGCCTCTTGGTCATTTAGTCCTACCTATACCTGAACAAGGATGGATCCCCTCTACAACATTCCCAACAAACGGTCATTCATCCACTCACTTGAAGACCTCCAGGATGAGAAACTTATTACCTCCTAAGACAGTTCATTTCACTTTCAGATAGCTCTGTTTGGAGGCAGTATAGTGTAGTTAAAAAAGAAAGAAAAAATGTGTGTGTGTGTGTGTGTGTGTGTAAGAACTTCATATCAGAAGACCTGGGTTCAAGTGTCAACTCTGTCATTGACTTGCTCTCTGACCTTAGGCAAATTATTTGACCTCTTCAGACCTTAATTTCCTTGTCCATCATTGGAAGAAGTTGGATTAGCTGATTCTTCAAACTCTGACATTCTGTAATTCTCCTAACATAGCCTAAGATTTTCTGGCTGCCATTATCAAACTGTTGACTCATAATGAGCTTACAGTAAGACCAACCCCTCAATCTTTTTATTATCTTGCCATTTCTTTCCCATCCTATACTTACACAGCTAATTTTTGAGGCCAAATATAGGACTTTACATTTATCACTATTGAATTCTATCTTTTTATATCTATACCATCACTCTAGCCTAGTGAGAGCTTTTCAAATGTGAATTATATCATCTAGTATATTAGCTGTCTCACCCAGATTTGCATGGTCTTCACATTTGACAAGCATGAAATCTATGCCTTCATCCATGGCACTGACATTGAACAGAACAGGGTTAAGGACAGATCCTTTAGGCACCCCCACTAAAGACTGCCTTCCAGGTTGATATAGTTCTGTGACTAACCAATCCTGAACCTACCTCATTCTTCTATCATCCACCTCAAATCTTTCTACCTTGTTTACAAGAATAAGGACCATTGTCAAATACCTTGTTGTTATGAGAAAGTAACATGGATGTTCCCTTCGCATGATGCTGGTTTCCCACCCAATCTCTCGCTTACCTTTGCAGCTCACTACAACTCCCAGGTGGAGGAACTAGAGACAAGCAGGGTCCACCCACTCTCTCTTTTCACAGGTGGGGCCAGACCAGGGTTTTACTGGGGGATGAAAGGAAACCTGTCCAATACTATTTTCTGATTGGTCCAAGTATTAAAAGTTCTAGGGGGAACCACTATCAAACATCTACCATTTGGAGGGTGGAGGGGATTTCATGACCAAAGATTAGTTACCATCTGAATAGGGTCTTTCTCCCACCATGGTGGGACTTTAGATAGAATGTCATCTTGCAAAGATGTGGATGGAGGCAATATTATGTGTGCTATGCCCAAAGTAATTCATGCACCCTTTATGCTTTCAAAGTTTGAGGCACTTAAGCTACCAAAGTCCTCGTGGGCAGAAGCCAGGCTTTTTCTGATGGCTTCTCCCCTGCCCCAAGGAGCCTCAGATTGAGCTATAGCCAAGGTGAAGGCAGAGGTTTCTGTATGAACCACCTGGATTTGGCCTCCAGCTTTGAGCATTTAATCCTTTCCATTATAGAGCAAAAGAGCTCTCAGGATTTCCAAGATTTGGATGATTAAGGAAACATTTGTTTTCCTTCCCTCAATTACAGAAGCCTAGTCTGGTCATTTAATAGTGACAGGAACACTCTGGACATCAAGGACTGTGACAATCCCATAGTGCTTTGCCCTAATCTGGGTAAATTTGGAGTCCAGTTCTGGGCACCACAATTTAGAAAGAATAAAATCATAGATGAAGAGATGAAAAGGGACTCAGAGGTCATCTATCCTAGCAATCAATCAGTTATTCAGTAAGTAGCTATTATTAAGAACCTACCAAGTGCCAGGCTTTGTACAAGTACAAAAAAATAAAACAATCCCCACTTGACAAGTATTTTGTGTTTTAATGAGGGAGAAATGTACATATGTAGGTATCTACAGCAGAAATGTCAAGTGAATAAATATATAGAAAAATGTTATTTTTTTTTAGTATATGACATATTATATATCCACATATAATGTATGTAATACATTTGAACGTATTTCATATGTATGTATATGTGTGGAGGTTGAATGACTTGTCCAAAACCCTACAGGCAATGTCAGAAGTAGGATTGGAACCCAAATTATTTGACTCTTCAATTGATGTTCTTTTCCCCGTATAGAGGTGTAAGACAAACTGTAGTACGGCCAGCAGAAGGTTAGCAGAATGGTGAGGGAACTGGAAACCATGGTGTTTAAGGACTAGTTGAAGGAATTGGTAATATTTACAGGAGAAGTACAAGTCTCCTTTACCCAGTCATGGGAGAGAAATAGCCGAGGGCAAGGGGAGAGAATTAGGAGTTGGGGCCGGATGTTGAAATGTCTGAAGTACCGTCCTGAAGAAGAGGGAAATAGACCTCTATTTATTGTCGTCCACAGGAGGAAACCAGGAGCAACAATGGGAGCTGTTGTTGTTGTTGTTGAGTTGTATCCAACTCTTCGTGTCCTCATGTGGGGTTTTCTTGGCAGAGATACTGGAGGGGTTTGCCATTTCCTTCTCCAGTTGATTTTACAGATGAGGAAGCTGAAGCCAACAGGGTTAAGTGACTTGCCCAGGTCACACAGCTAGTAAGTGCCTGTGGCCAGATTTGAACTCAGGAAGATGAGTCTTCCTAGCTCCAGACCCAGTACTCTATCCATTGCGCCACCTAGATGCCCAAAATGGAAGTTACAGGGTAGCAAATTTCTATTCACTTTAAGAGCTCCTAAAACGGAGAGCGGTCCAAAAGTAGACTGAGTGCCCAAAGTAGGGAGGGGGTTCAGAGCCAGCACTGGAAGTCTTGGAGATGAGACTGGATAACCACTGGTCAGGGGATGTTGCAGAACAGACTACGTGCTCAGGTGCTGCTTGGACTGGATCACTTTAGAGGTCCCATTACCAGGATTCTATGAATCTATGACTCAGGTCATTACACAAGTGGCTTTATCTCTGCCTAGCCAGGCAGAATTGCTCTGAGCTCCATCCTGGAGTCTGTTCCTCCACAGTGGCGCCATGCTGCAGAGCATGGCAAACACCCTCTGTGTCTCTGGACAGAATGAAGGATTACTTCCTGACCTATCTCACTGGCCCAGTCCCTGGAGGTATTCTGCGGCACAGCTCCACAGGCAAACAAACTTCCCAGCCACACCCCGGTCAAGCAGACTGGCTTCAGGCAGTATGCGAGGAAGGATAATTACACACTGCTATAGGCTCTTTAAATCTAGCCAAACATTTGTATTTCTATTAACTCTGATGATCCTCAAAACAATCCTATGGGGATAGATAGGGTAGATAGCATTCATTCATTCATTCAGCATCTTTTAAATGCATGTTCTAACCC